CCAAATGTTTATCAAAAGATGATTGGATAAACAAAATGTGGTATGCACTATACATGCAGATGCAAAAGGTCACATATTGTATGATTCCACTTATATGAAATATCCAGAATAGATAAATCTGTAGAGATAGAAGGCAGATTTGTGGTTGTCAGGGACTCGGGCCTGGAGGGAATGAGAGAAACTGGTTAATGCATAGGGAGTTCACTTTGCAGTCATGGAAATGTTTGTGAGTTTGCTAAATGCCACTGAATCATTCACTTTAAAATGTTTAATTTTATGTTAATGTGAATTTCTCCCCAATAAATGAGGGTTGTTTTTTTTTAACTCTTAAGGGTATGATTCATTCAGGAGAGCCAAGTTTTGAGTGTAATCCAGACTTATTTACCCCTTTAAACATCAAAACCTTTTATTATAAAAAGTACATACTAAAATGTGGTAGTTTTGTCAACATTATAATGAAAAATTTTACATAAGTATTTGTTATTAATAATGAACACTCATTTAGCACTTGCTCTGTATGATTCCATTTATATGGCACTGTTCTTAGCCCCTTATATACATTAACTCATTTAATCGTCACAATACTCCTATAAGGTACGTATTTTTATGTCCGTGTTTTACAGATAAGGAGAATAGGACATAACAAGGTAAACTACTTGCCAAAGTCACACAGCTAATAAGTGGTGGAGCCAGAATGTGAACCCAGAACACTTTGCTGCAGAGCCTGTACTTTTAACCCCTGTAGAATACTACATACTAATATACAGTCAACTTCATAAAGGCTGGGATTTGAATCCATGCCAGGCCTAGAGAAAATCTGATAATTATATGGCAAATGAATGAACAAACAAAAAATAAACAGCTTTTGTATCAATATTGTTATAGACTACATGTTTGCATCCCCCAAAATTCCTGTGTTGACAGCATAATCCCCAAAGTGATGGTATTTGGAGGCAGGGCCTTTGATTGGTGATTAGGTCATGAGAGTGGAGCCCTCATGAATAGGATTAGTGCCCTTATAAAAGAGGCCCCAGAGAGCCCCATCACCCCTTCTGCCATGTGAGGGTATGGCAAGAAGATGGCCATCTCTGAACCAGGAACAGGGCCCTCCCAGACCTCCATCTGCTGAGGCCTTGACTTCTCAGCCTCCTGAACTGTGAGAAGTCCATTTCTGTTGTGAATAAGCCATTCAGTCTGCTATATTCTGTTATAATAAGCCAAACAAACTAAGACAAATATTTTGGCAATTGGAGACTTTTGTGTTTTCTGCTTGTCTCACTGGTGTTTCAGAGAGGTAAAATTTTATTTTTTTATTTTTAATATTTTTTTCTTTATTGATTTTAGACAGAGAGGAAGGGAGAGAGGGAGAGAGAGAGAAACATGGATGAGAGAGAACATTGCTTGGCTGCCTCCTGCATGCCCCCCACTGAGGATCCAGCCCACTGCCTGGGCATGTACCATGACCCAGAATCGAATTGGTGACCTCTTGGTGCATAGAGTGACACTCAACCACTGAGCCATACTGGCCGGACTAAAATTTTATATAAATAAGGTACTGTGCTGGGCACTGCAAGCTACTCCCATATTAATAACGTGAATATAATTGAGACTGGGACCAGTTATAAAATTAGTCCTTATTTAACCTATGTGAATTAGGAGAAGCCATGATCAAAACAGATTTATAAATCTCCCTATTTTACAAGGCATCCTCCTCACCAAAAAAAAATGAGGATGATGATTTTTAATGCATAAAGTGCTTTATACGTGTATTAAAATTGATGACTGAATTTTTCAAACTAGTTAAGATACTCATAAAAGATATTAAACACCTACAGAATGGTTCATTTTATGGTGACTTTATGGCGAACAGGGTTACAGTATCACTCAAACATTCTGATAATACACTGACTCCTACTGGGAGCAAAGACATAAAAAAAACACCATCTGGTTGTGTTTGGATACTCATGAGCAAATCTGTCAGCTTTCTCATAGCCTTCTCCATGTACCATTTTGCCATTGTGAGCTGACCATTCCAGCCAGCCAGCATTGTTTTAACAAAAGCAGTTTAAATTCAACTATATCACTTTTAGATGTTAATCAAGCAGTTGCATGTTTCCATACACAGTCTATTCCGGAGATAGAACTTATCTGAAAGAACAATGCAGACAGGCCCTGGCCCCGCAGTTTCTGATTGCCAGCTTTATTTGTTATTTGCCATCTGGGGAGAAAGATGTGATATCCAAATAAAATGTGTATGAAGTACTACTTTTCAGAATGTAGTTGGACAAAGAACAACCAAAGAAGAAAAGTGGAAGACTTGGCAGCTGTGTGTAATCTAGCTCGGCTGTTATTAAGGGGCTTTTTGTCCATGGCCATTTATTGAGCAGCCCCTTTGAACCAGATGCAGTACTAAATATATCAGTGGAATTATCCCACCGTTCTCTTCCATGCTGGCAATGCTTTGGAGGAATTGTCTTTCTTTCAGTTTCTAGAATGCACCAGAGTCCTTTTGCCTTCAGAGTCTTCAGATGCTCTGTTCCCTTCATCTGAATGATCACTCCAACCCCATTTCACCAGACCACTTTCTACTTACTCTTTATGATTCAGGTTAAATGTCTCTTTATCAGAGTCTTTCAGTGACACCCCATGCTGGTCAATTTCCCCATTTTCTCTTTCATAACACCTTGAACTTTTCCTTCAGAACACTTAACAGAACTATAATTAAATAGTTATTTATGTATAATTTGTTTCATATTCTCTGCTAGGTGTAAGCTTCAAGAAGGCCAGGACAGAATCACTCTGAGTCACCACTAGATTTCCATCCACTAGACAAGTGCTTGACACATAATAGAGGCTCAATAAATATTTGCTGAATGATAAACTGAGTAAATGAATGAATAAAGACAAACCATGCCCTCTATTTATTCACAATGTAGTACTGTTTAATTTTTATTGTAGGATCTATGCTCTTTTCAGAAGTCTTATTTTTAAATTAAGGTGTAAATGCTAAAAAGTAAAATGACCTAGTAATAGGACATGGTGGGGTGGTTAGTGGTGAAGGGGCTCAAGGGGAGATGGGTTAACTTCCATTTAGGTCTATCAAAACATCCAACTACCAGGTCATAGTTTGGTTTCACGAAAATGAGACTAAAGCCCCTTTTCATGTATTCCTCCACAGAGTCTCAGAGAAAGCTTGAGAGAGAGTAGTTGATAAATGGTCTTAATGACTCATCCTTATTTTAAAATAATAAACCAATGGTTTTTTATTTTTTATATTATTGAAGGTTTCATACTGCCCAGAGTTTATCTTAAATAATAATCCAATAAGTAGTAAAACAGTTCCAGGTACAAAGGGAGAGTAGATGTATAGAAAGGGAAGGTGACACAGAGATTTGAGCCTCTTGATGTGACATCTGATGTGCATGTCAACCAGGTTCCTGTGAGATTCACATTGTCTGTATTAATGTGGTTAGAGTTTATACTTACATAGGATGTTTTTTGAGGGATGATTGGTTGAATTTTTCTTACTACTCACATTCACATATACACAAATGAACTTTTTTCACTATATTCTAAAAAATGTATAGAGAAGGACATAAAACCTATGCTTAAGCTAACCATCAAAAGTTATTTTACATTTTGGTATATTTATCCTTGTCTTTTTGCCATTCATATACTTTATTTATTGATCCTCTACAGTTGAAATAGAATTTTATATATATTATATTCATTTACTTTTTTTAATTCTCACCTGAGGATATATTTTTATTGATTTTAGAGAGAAAGGATGAGAGAGAGGGAGAGAAACATCGATTGGTTGCCCCCATATGAGCCCTGACTGGGGATCGAACCCGTTGCCTAGGTATTTGCCCTAACCAGGAATTGAACCCACATGCTTTTGGTGTACAGAACCACATTCCAACCAACTGAGCCACCCAGCCAGGGCTTATTTAACTTTTTATCTTTAGTCTTTTCCATATCATTAAGCCATCTTCATGAATAGTTTTTTGTGACTCTTTGCTGGAAATTCAAGTTGTTTATTTTTCAGAAATTATAAACATCTATCTATTTACAGAGACAGTTGAGTTTTTCATTGTTTTTTACTTTAGCATAGATTCATAAAGTAAAATTACTATGTAAAATGGCATGTACATTTTTAAGTCTTTTGATACATGTAGTAAAATTACTTTTTGGAATATAATACCAATTTAATTTCTACTTGCTACATATAACAAGATTTAATATCTTTGCCATAAAGAGTTATACAAATAAATGAGAAAAAAGTATTCTAATAGTAAAATAGATTAAGAACATGAACAGAAAATTTACTAAAACTAAAATTTAAATATCCATCTAAATATATATGAATAATAGCAAATCTAATTAGAAATACAAATTATAATAATAAAAATACTATATCAATTATAATAACTGTTTTTCCTTTGAAAATATTGAAAGATAAGATGTTAACATTAGGGGAAGGTGAGCAAAGGGTGTATAGAAACTCTGTACTATTTGTATAACTTTTCTATAGATCTAAAATTATTTCAAAATAAAAAGTGAAAATTTTAATTTACTCATAAGATGGCTGTAGTGCTTATTCAATAATGTCATTGTACTTATTGATCTTGTATAAATGAGCCAGTGTACTCCGAGAAATCTTCATTGCAGCATAACTAGCTCTTCTCTCAAAGTACACTCTAGTATTGAGAAACAAATATCAACTATTTCCAGTGATTGCTCTTACTATTGCAATAGTCTCTGAACCTGCTCCATATGTTATATACTCTATCTCATATAATCCTTCTGCAGTACTAGAAAATAAGCAGTAAAATTATCAGGCTCATTTTACAGATGAGAAAACCAAGGATGTAAGGTTGAGCAACTCATTCAAAATCATATTCTAAAATGATTTACTTCAATTGGTTCCATTTATAAGATCTGTCCATTTGGCAGAAATGGCATACATTTTGGGATTGAATATTTGTCTTTATTTCCAGCTGGATTTGGTGTTCCCTTTCCAACAGATGAACCTACAGACATTATTCCACGAAGCTGCCAACTAACGACAGATGTTCCACAAGTCACACAGCTGCTAAACATGACTAAACTCCGCCAAACTATAATAAAATTTGGAGGTCATCCTCTAAGTTCAGCAGAATCAGGTATGCACTTGGGCACCTAAATTATAAGCATATTTATTTGTAACACCAAAATAAAAGGGGGGAGGGGGAAGTCTTGCAATTAATCTTTATAGTTTGAAGTTAAATATTATGACACTTTTACATTGACTCAGTTCAGTAGTAAATCATTTTTCTTTAAGTTCTCTTTAGCAACTAAAATTTTTCTGGATTTTTATACATGATCAAAATATCCTTAATTATTCCTCTCCTTTTTCTATGTTTCCAAGTCCTGCCAATTATACTTCCTAAACATCTCCCAGATCTCCCTCCTCTGTCTTGTTTCTTTGGCCATTGTTCTGGTCCCCACTGTCACTCACCTTATCCTCCCAGCTAATCTTCACAGTGCTGTGACAACGATCTTTCTGGTAATGGTAATAGAAATAGGAATATGATCTTGCACTCTTTAATTAAAGACTTTTTTAAAATATGCTTATTGATTTTTAGAGAGAGGGGAAGAGAGAGAGAGAGAAACATCGATGTGAGAGCAGAACATCGATCTGCTGCCTCCTGCGTGCTTCTTACTGGGGATCAAGCCCACAACCCTGGCATGTGCCCTAACCAGGAATCAAACCAGCAACCTTTTGGTGCACTGAACAACACCCAACCAACTGAGCCACACCAGCCAGGGCAAGACTTTTTTAATGATACGCCTTTCCCACTGTCTTTAAGACAACATAAGAAAACCCTTGGGAATGCACACAAAGCCAACGTCCTCTATCCCAAAACTACTCCACAGTTTTATCTCCAGACACCTTTCTCTCATTCCCATGTGTGATTTTCTGATCACCTTGTAGGCTTTCACGTGTTCATATTTTGGGATTGCTGTTTCGTTGGCCTAAAATGTCTTCAAAGCTTGCCTTTCTGCTTGGAAAAACTTCAATTTATGTTTCTAGACCCAACTCAAATGCTCCCCCTTCTATGTAAATGATGCAGTAGGTGGGGCATCTCACTCAGCCCTGTGCAGGAGCTGTAGGAAGTGGTGAGCACTGCAGCAGTCTGGAAGCTCCTTCTCAGTGTAGAAGAGGTAACCAGTTCAGTTCTAGCCAAGTGCTGCCTTGCTGGAATGCAGGCCCAGTCTTACCAGTTCGTCCCTTTTATTTTCAAGACTGAATATCCCAATGCTTATGATAAATCTCCCAAATCAAAAAAATTATCTAAAGTCTAATTTTTTTTTTTTGAAAATACCCTGTGAGCCTAACAAAACATGCCAGTGCATGCCAGTTTTCTGCCACTGGAATAGTCACCCATAGCTACTGACCAAATGAATGGTAGTGCTTTACTATCAAGAATCCTAATATTATTTAGATGAGTTGTTCTCAATCTCCTATATTTTAGAATCACCTGGGACATTTTAAAAATAACTAATATAATTTTTTTTTCTAATATCCATGCTTTATTCCAAGAGATTCTGATTTAATTGGCCTGGGGTGGATGTTTGTTTATTTGTTTGTTTAATTCCCCCAGTGATTCTCTTGTGCAGCCAGGATTGAGAACCACGGGATCGCTTATCCCCACAAAAGTCAGGTGGCTTAGGTGACACTCACAAACACTGGAGTGACTCAGAGGAAGGTGAAATGGTCATGACAGAGCACTTATGGAGAAAGTAGATCTTGAAAGTATTCAGTAAAGTATTGTATAAGTGTTTATAATGAATAAATATAAGATTTGTGGGTGTGTAAGATGGCACAGCAGCCTGAGCAAAGATAAAGAGAGAGAGCTGCACGAGGAGTTTACTAAGGGATTGCTCAGAGGAAAGGCCTGAGTAGGCAGAATGGCTGTGTTGGAAACACGAGAAGAGTGTGCCTCATGTTTCTAAAGTAGAGGAATGATCATTTCTCTTTCAGGAAGTTGAGGTTGAGGTTGATGTCAGGATTCAATATGAATTTGTAAGTCAAGTGAGACCAGAGATTAAGGATTACACTAAGATGTCTTTGCAGCAAGCTCGGCGTGGAATGCCAGGCGGCAGTGACAGTGGAACATAAAGACCTGGGAGGAGCTGCAGGGAAGAGCTGCAGGACGGGTGACTCTCAGATAGCAGATGGGGAGGGAGTGGTCACAGTTAGAGAGGTCCAAGTATAGTAGCAAATAACCTTGATGAAATGAATGAGTTTAGAAAATGGACTCAGTTTTAGTCTCTGTATTTATTCTATGTTCATTTAATCTGGTGAATTTCCTATATATCATCAGCATTACATGTCCTAAATCATATATTCCTAAAGAATCGGGATTGATTTTATAACTTTTTCAGTATAAACTCTGGCAGAAGACTATGTGTGAATAGGCACTACATTTTTAAGCCCTTTATTATGAAATTTCCAAACTTACAGAACAGTAGAGAATATATGATGAACCCTCATATCTCCAGCATCTGCTTCCATAATTACCAACTTTGGGCAGGATTTTTTGATAACAACAAGGGTATAAGTAGTAAGAATTTGTATATTTATTATATATACTATCTTTAGGTGGGTGGGGGGAGAAAGAGAGATATACAATCCATTTTTATTAAATAACTTTTTAAAAATATATAAAAGGATTAAAAGATCCCACTACCCATACAGCCACCATAAACACATTGGGTTACAATTCAGTCTTAATGGAAGATTCACCATAGAATGAAATGAATAAGTGCTTTTGATACGCAAACACTCTATCTGTGTCTAATAGGCTGTGATAGTTTTCACTAACAGTAATGATTAAGCTGTAAAGCCTATCAGATAACTCTGTGCTGTTGCACATGCTATTTGTCTTCTCTGTATCTTAATGTTTTGAGAATTAATTATGTCTTTAAAAGAAAATGTAAGTCTATAATCAAATATTTTAAGTATCTTTTCTTATTTCAAGTTCAAGGACACATGAAGCCTGAGATTAAAGAGGAATTTGAATAAATATTAATTGCATAATTAATTCAATATTAAAATTAAACAGAAACTTTTTAATAGGCCGTATTTGATCCCAACTTACAGAAGAGGCTGTTTGTTCATATTTTGTAAATTTCATAAATGGGGTCTCAATGCATAATAATAATTTTAGTCATATATGCAGAAAATTAATAATCATCTAATAGCATATTTCTTCTGTCCTATGAATCCCAATTATATTTATATTCATTTATAACCAGAGAGTTTATGATAGTTTATCTTAAGTAAATCTCATTGCACATGTATGACAGCTAAGATTACATGAACATATATTGACCTTTTGGTTCTCTTTCTATAAATAATTTTCAATTGTTAATTTTGAATGTGAGGGCTTTGAAATTTACTATAGGTGAGTATAATAATAATTATTGTTTTCTGTGTAAGATAGTTTATCTGAAAGGTATAACTAATAAATAGTGCCCAAGGATAGACTTTTTAATCATGGAAAAGCCAGGAGATATTTCATTTGAACTGTGTTTTTGTGTCTTTCTAAAAAAATAGACTCCCCATGGTGATTTGAATAGCACAAGAAATGACTGTGTGTTTTTATAATTGACTGCACAGTACTCATGCAAATTGTATTTTATTATAAATGCGCATATTGAGAGATCCCAATGAAGTCGCTTCAGGAAGAAGTAGGTGTTTCCTGTGGATGCTTTCCTGCATGTTTACCGAAGCAAAAAGGGAAACATTGAAACTTACATTTTAGAGTGCATTTTGTTGAATATCATATAACTTCATCAAGAGGCTTTAACAAATTTAATGACATAATTGTGTTTCCATAAAGCCAGTGTTAACCACACATTTGTACTGTTCACTTTGTCAGTTCCATTCCTGGTACACATTAGCTAATGAGTGTTAGTCTGCAGATGACTGTGAGATCTGATTATCTTATTTTCATTAATGCGACCCCAGTTTGATTGAACCAGAGAATCAAGTATGGTTATTGAAGTTGATCATTCAGCTAATGACAAGATGTAGTGGTCTACTAAGCACAAATCAAAACTAGTAATTTACTTAAAAATTAGGAGGCAGTTCTCTCAAATGCTCTTCTTTCCACCAAAGCAGTCTCATTGGATTTTTACTCCTTTTTCAATAAGAAGAGACTGGCATCCCTATCTCCTAGCAGAGTTGCAAACAGGTGAATTAATGCATCTAGCAAACCATGAAATAATCATCTAACTATAGTTGGCATTGATGAGATTCTTATTAAAATTTCTTCTTGGGTTTGACAGTATGAACGCAAAATTCAAGTCAAGCAGCAAAATCTACTGTAAAGTAGAACCTAAAACAAAGGAATAAGATCCTGACTTCAGAAAAAAAAACAAGACACTCTTTTTTGTTGTTAAATCCTCACCTGAGTATATTTTTCCATTGATTTTTAGATAGAGGGATACAGTGGAAGGGAGAAGGTGGGGAGCGGGAGGCATCAATGTGAGAGAGATACATCGATTGGTTGCCTCCCACATGGCCTTGACCTGGGACAGGGGTCAAACCAGCAACCCAGATGTGTGCCCTTTATAGGGAATTGACCCCTGATCCTTTGGTCCTTGGACTAACACTCTTAACTGCTGAGCCAAACTGGCCAAGGCATAAAACATTCTGAATTTCTTCTTTTCTAACCTCAGAGCTTTGGTAAACTTTATTTTAGGATTGTTGGTTAAAGAGATGCCACAATTTCTAGTTACAACATCTGATCATAATTCAGAGTAAACTCAGACATCTCTTACATTTGAAATATGTATCCTCTTTCCCTGTCTTTAGTAAAAATGAAGCATAATCACATTCCTTTATTAAAAATTTTTTAAATGTGAAAGGAATTTAGTATGGATATTGATCCAGGGTCTGTTAAAGCACAGATGTCACAAATCATTTATAGAGTGAATTTTTAAGTTTTCTGCAGTATTTCTGCCTAATGTTGAAAAAAGCATTGATATATAAAACATAATACTGAATATAAAAAGTACATTTAATCAGTTTGATAATTGTGCTAATTGTGCAGGATTGACTCATTTCAACCTTTATATTTCTCCTTTAGATGTCTATTACAGCATTGCTTAT